TATAATGAATTCAATAATACAGAATTTGTGAATAATGAAGATCAACCACAGTCACCAAAACTACTCTGCAAATGTCCACTGGCTCCTGTACTCTGAATACCATGGATACTAATTCAATTCCATAAACCGAAAGATAAACACTACCTTAGCAAACTGTCCTGCAAGTTACAAAGTGGCATACTATAAAAGGATACTTACACGGACAGGAAGAGCAGAGAATGTTCATAATTACTGAATACTCTGCCTCCTCCCACTTTGTTGGGGTGTCCAATCTAAGCTTTAAAAGACTGATTAAATCTGGGAAAGATTTGAGCAAATCAGTAAATACATTAAGATTGAGCAAATAGGCATATATATTATTACAAATATTAAGGGTTCCTATTAGAGAAAGGAGTTAACAAATATGAAAAGACAGAAGGGTAAAATAAACCCTGTTACTAGGATGGATTTAGAATAATTGGTATGGGTTTTTAATGCATATAAATATAGAAACAGATGTGTATTTATGTATATGTATAAACTTACATATACTTCTTATCCCTGTCTTGATAGGTCCTGGAGGCAATGACTACATCTAGCATCCAGGTTTGGTTTCAAAATAGCAATATTCACTAAAAAGAATTAGTGTTCTCTGGAGAAAAGTTGACTTCTGAATGGAGTTGATGCTCCTTAAAGCTTTATTTGCAAAGCACTAGCATTATTTGATCTGTTAGTGGCTCTTTGGAAGACTTCATTTGCAAGGCTGTCCTGGAACTCATCCAATATGAAAAAACATGCCCCCAGGAACATTGGTTGAAAACAAATAAAGGCAATTGTTCAACTTCATGGCTGCCTGAGGTAGTGGATAATACCTGGGGAAAACAATAGGCTAATAAAAAAGCTTAAAAGGAAAAGCAAGAGAATGAGCTCATAAGGGCTTTGAAAAGGTCTGACATATTCCTGTGAATCTGAAGGCCATGCTTATGCACAGAGCTGTGTACAGGAACAGGAAAGACCTGAGACCTCTGGTTGACCTTGAGGCTCTTAGGAAGTGAAGTTTAAGACAGAGATGTTAAACGACCTGCAGAACATTGATCGTGTGCCCCAACATGTGCACAGAGTCCCTCAGCAAAAACCAGGAGACAATGGGGCACCTGGGTGGCTCAGTTGTTAAGCGTCTGCCTTCAGCTCAGGTCATGACCCCAGGGTCCTGGGATCAAGCCCCACATCAAGCCCCACAGCGGGCTCCCTGCTCAGCAGGAAGCCTTCTTCTCCATCTCCCACTCCCCCTGCTTGTGTTCCTGCTCTCACTAACTCTCTCTATCAAATAAATATAGAAAATCTTAAAAAAAAAAAAAAAAAAAGCAGGAGACTTACTGGTTCCAAGTATTTAAGGAAGTCTCCAATCATTATTTGACCACTAAGCTAACTGAGCAGAGACCACACAACAAAGAATACAAACTTTACAGAATTCAGAAAGGTCACTAAACAGAAAAATAGTAACTCTGAGAAAGGGCAGATCTGATTTCCAAAATTGCCACATTATATTATTTAAAATGCCCAGGTTTTTTTGTTTTGTTTTGTTTTTTAAAGATTTTATTTATCCAGGGCACCTGGGTGGCTGAGACATTAAGCGTCTGCCTTCAGCTCAGGTCATGATCCCAGGGTCCTGGGATTGAGCCCCACATCAGGCTCCCTGCTCAGCGGGAAGCCTGCTTCTCCCTCTCCCTCTTCCTCTGCCCCTGCTTCTGTTCCCTTTCTCACTGTGTCTCAAGGGAACACAAGCAGAGGGAGTGGGAGAGGGAGAAGCAGGCCTCCCGCAGAGCAGGAGCCCAATGCGGGGCTCGATACCAGGACTCTGAGCCAAAGGCAGACGTTTAACAACTGACCCACCCAAGCACCCCATAAAATGTCCAGTTTTTAACCAAAAAAAAGTATGAAGCATATAAAGAAACAAAAAAGCATGGTCCATACACAAAGGGGAAAAAATTGATAGAAACTGTCCCTGAAGAAAGAAAATAAAGAAACTGTCCCTGAGGAAGCTCAGATGTTAGACAAACTAGACAAAGACTCTGAACCTGCTATTTTAAATGTTTAAAATCTAAAGGAAACCATGTCTAAGGAACTATAGCAGAGTATAAGAATGCTATCTCACCAAATAGAGAATATCAACAGAGAGATTATTTTTTTAAAACACAGAAATCCTTGGGGCGCCTGGGTGGCTCAGTCAGTTAAGCAACTGCCTTTGTCTCAGGTCATGGTACCAGGATCAAGCCCCATGTCAGGCTCTCTGCTCAGCAGGGAGCCTGCTTCTCCCTCTCCCTCTGCCTGCCAGTCCCCCTGCTTGTGCATTCTCTCTCTCTCTCTTTCTCACTCTGACAAATAAATTAAATAAATAAATAATAGAAATTCTTCTGTTGAAAAGACTAAATAAACATTTCACTAGAGGGGTTAAACAGTAGATTTGAAGAAGAGAAAATCAGTGACCATGAGAACAGGCCAACTGAGATTATCCATACTAAGGAACAGAAAGAAAAAAGAATGAAAAAAAAAATTCACAGAGCCTCAGAGAACTATGGTATACCATCAAATGTACCAACATATAATGGGAGTCTCAGAAAAACAAGAGAGAAATATAGGGACAGAAAAATATTTGAGGAAATACTGGCAGAAAATATCCCAAATTTGATGAAAAACATCAATCTAGAAATCCAAGAAGCTCAACTAATTCAAGTAGCATAAATTCAGATAGATCTATAAATGGACATATCATAATCAAGCTGCTGAAAGACAAAGACATAGAATCTTAAAAGCAGGAAAAGCTATTCAACATGTATAAGAGATCATTGATAATATTAACAGCTGATTTCTTCTCAGAAACCATGGAAGACAGAAGGCAGTGAGATGAAAAATTAAGACTTTCTAAATAAACAAAAACTAAGAAAATCTGTCAACAGCGGACTTGCTCTACAGCAAATATTAAAGGGAAAACATCAGGCTGAAATGAGACCTCTGACACTATAGTAACTCAAATCCACATGACGAAATAAAGTACACTGATAAAGGTAACTACTTAGATAAATAAAAAATAAAGCATGAATCTATTTTTTGTTTATAATTATTTTTTATTTCCATTGTTATTTTTAATTTCAAAGGCAACTGCATAAAGAATAATTGTAAATCTATGCTGATGGGCACACAATGTATAAATATATAATTTGATAACACTCTCTAAAAAAAAAAAAGATGGTCACTATGGAAGGAAGGAAGGAAGGAAAAGAAGGAAGAAAGGAAGGAAAAATAACCAGCATTAGCAAAGATGTGGAGAAACTGGACTGGAGCCCTTACGCTTTCTTGGTGGGAATGTAAACACTGCAGCCACTGTGGAAAATAAAATGGCAAATGCTCAAAGAATTAAACATAGAATTACCATATGATCCAATAATTCTACTTCTGAGTACATACCCAAAAGAAGTGAGAAAAGGGACTTGAACAGATATACATACACCCATGTTCACGGCAGCACTATTTCATAATAGCCAAAAGATGGAAGCAACCCAAGTGTCTGTCCTCAGATGACTGAGTCAACAAAATGTGGTATATACATACAATGGAATATTATTCAGCCTTAAAAAGGAAGGAAATTCTGATACATGCTACCACATAGAAGAACCCTGAAGACATTATGCTTAGTAAAATACACCAGTCACAAAAGGATAAATACCATATGATTCCATTAATATGAAGTACCTAGAGTAGTCAAAATCATAAAGACAGAAAGTATGGTGGTTGCCTGGGGCTACGTAGAAGGGGGCATGGTGACTTATTAAATAGGTAGAATTTCAGTTTTGCAAGATAAAAAAGAGTTCTATGATTGTGATGGTTGTGATAGCAGCACAACAATGTGAATGTATTTAATGCTACTAAACTGTATAGTTAAAAATTATTAAAATGGTACATTTTAATGTGCCAGGTCATGTTCTCAGGGTTGTGAGATCAAGCCCCACATCCAGAACTGTGCTCAGCGCAAAGTCTATTTGAATTTCTCTCTCCCTCTGCTCCTCCCACCCCCGACACACACACTCTCTCTCTCTCAAATAAATAAATCTTTTTGTAAAAAGTACAGAGTGGCTCTCTGCAATTTCTACTACTGTCAAAGTAAAGCAAAAACAATCACCAATGCCCAGGTCAGCTCATAAAACCATAAACAAGTCACACTGCACTGCTCTAATGTCCAGTTCCTCTGCTAGAGCTACTCAGCAATAGCAGTGTTTTAGCTTCCTCCTGTTTCCTAAACCCATTGTTGGAGAAGGGAAAAGAGAAGAAAAACTTAAGGGGAAACTAATGAGAATGTTTTAGGAATACTACATCTCTGGAGTTCAAATTTCTTATCTTAAAATGGAGAAAACAACAGTGCCTACCTTTTCAAAGGGCTGTTGTCAGGACTAAGTAAATTCACATGTATAAAGTATTTAATAAGAGTGCTTACCACAAGGTAAATGCCCTAAAAACGTTAAACTTTTTTTTAGGGGAGGAGAGAGAGATTATGTGCACGCACAGAGGTTGAGGGGGGTGGAGGGAGAGGGAGAATCTCAGGCAGACTGCCTGCTGAGCACAGAGCCCTATGTGGGGCTCAATCTCAGGACCTGAGATCATGACCTGAGCTGAAATCAAGAGTCCGGCATTTAACCTACTGAGCCACCCAGGGCACCCCGATAAATGCCCTAAAAATGTTAGCTATCTATATTCTTGCCCAGGAAATATCAACGTCTTATTTCAACTACAACCTTTATCTCAGCTTCCTTACTCTCTCCTGAACACCAACTCTCTAGCTACTTAAAAAAAAACAGTAACAACAAAACACCACCATCCTCTCAGCTGAATATGAGTCCTCAGTGAAGGACACTGCTATATTAACTCAGTCATCCAAGGCAGACCAGGGACTCACTGTTAAGACATCCCTCTCCCTCACCCTCAATATCTAACCTTTCACCAAGCCCTGTAGATGGTTTCCTCAATACCTGTTGAAATCATCCCTTCCTCTTTAACCACACTTTCCCCTCTTAGTACAGGCCTTCCTCACTTCTTCCAGGATTGCTTGAGTAGCTTCTGACTGGCCTTCAGGACTTGAATCTCAGCCGTCTGACTGATCCATCCACAACTGCTACAGGGATCTAGTAAAGCAAAAATCTAATAGTGAGTATGAGAGTTTACGATGACAAGTTTCTCTTTTTTTTTTAACTTTTTTATACTTTCAAAATAAAATTTTTAAATTTCAACTTAAAAATGAGAGAAGAGAGGCACCTGGCTGGCTCAGTTGGTACAGCATTCAACTCCTGATCTCAGGGTCATGAGTTCAAGACCCACATTGGGTGTAGAGCTTTTAAAAAAATAAAATTAAAAAGACTACAGCTTTAAAAAATAAATACATAAAATTTTAAAAAATAAAAATAAAAAATGAGGAAAGAAACTAGTGTTCCCCTGACCAGTAGTGGTTGCAGGGGGAGAACAATAGGAGAAAAGGACTGAAAAAGAGCACAAAGAAATGTGGGGGAGTGAGAAACATGTTCATCATTTTTATTGTGGTGATAGCTTTTCAAGTGTATATCTATGTTAACAGTTATGTATAATTAAATAAGTATAACTTATTGTATGTCAATTATTCTTTAACTTTAAAAATTTAAATAAAAAAGTAAATGTATCAAAAACCCTTTTGCCCGAAAAACAGAAGCTTTGACATAAATGCCATCTACAGCATGACAGATGATGCCCAACAATATATATATACATGACTATCACAGACTACCTATCTCCAGCACAAGTCACAAAAAGTCAGGGAGTGCATAACCTTGTCCTAGAACCCAGTCTCCAGGGCCAGGCGCAAACAGGGGACCACAGGAAACCAGCCTGGACACTGGGCTGCTATCAGTTCACATTAAGTTGCACACCATTCAAACCTCCTCAGTGTGCATTTGCAACTTACCCATGATGCATCTCCTCAGCCCATTTGAAAGACTCAGGGTCTCACCCTATAGAAGTACCTTAGTGGTTTATATTATAGGCATAATAACAACTTGAGAATGAAGATCGGGTTGTTTTCAACTTGAAAATTATTTGAAAAATAAATAAATAAAATTTGGAAAAAACCCTATTAAAAATAAATCTTCCCTTGCTTAAAATATTTCAAAGGCTCCCCTCTGCCTCAGGAGAAGCCTCTAATCCTAACCATGAAACACAAGGGGCCCTGACTCCTCTCCCGCCGTTTCCCCATAAGTGTCCCTGAGTCAAGCCAAAGATTCATATACAGTTCTTGGTCATCTGGCATTAGTAGCATAAGCTAATGCTTCTCTTCTATGCTCTCTCTCCCATTCTCTAGTGCTCTCATTTAGTTCAGGCATCTCTCCCTGATGGATGCTTATCCTCAAGCTGGGTTAGGTATGTCTCTGCTCTGCTCCTGTAGCACCTGGTACAGACTTCTATCACAGCCTTTCAAGTATTGTATTAGTAGTTCTCTTTTCTGTCTCTCCTATTAGATTATAAACTTGAGAGAAAGTGTTTTTCATCCTCAGTCCCTTGGATAGTTCCTAGAATGTAGTAAACTCTCAAAACGGTTGCTAAACTAAAAGGAAGGGAAGAAAAGCACTTAAATGTCACCTGTATCAATCGATTTTCTGATCAATCCTATCAAACTTACTCTTAAGAAAATCTGAGGCTCAGAGAAATTAGATGACTTGCTCAAGGCCACATTCATAGTAAGTAATGGAGCCAAGCTTTCAACCAAGGCTCTTCAGGCTCCTAGACAGGTACATTGCCTGTATTTGTGAATTCCTCAGCACCTAATGCAAATGCCTCTTCAGAATAGGTATTCAATAAATACCTGCTGCTTTCATGTTTACTGCCACTTTCAACTAGTCCTAAGGGAGATTGTATCTTATAAGAGGCCTTTAAACAATCACAGTATAAAGTGAAAGTGATTTTAAAACCTAAAAAAGTAAAAGTGACTTTCCTTATCTAAACTTCGTTTTTATCTAAAAAGATGAACAGAAACGAAAAAATAGAAAAAAATCTGACTAACAGAGGGCAGTTGGGTGGTTTCAATGGATGCTACCACCTAAGAATAAACCTGCAACAGTCCACACACTCAGGGGACAAGAATATTTAATATATCAGACAGCCACTAACTCCCAAGACAAATCAAGGTGTTCATTTTGGATATACAGCCCAATAAACTTTTTACCTTTTTCCTGACATACCCACCTTAAAAACTAAATAAGGACATCCTAGTTGCCATTTCCAACAGCAGTTCTCAAATCTGAATCAACTTCTGCCCTGGCATCAACAATTACTTCACCAAATCAATCTTTCTGTAAGTTAAATGAGCTATTATTCTTCAAACACTTACTGAGCAGCAATAGAGTGTACTGCCTTTGCTAGGCTGACAAGAAATACAAGAGGTAAAACAGCAGTCCTTGTAAACCATATATAAAAAGATCAGAAACGTTAAGTGTAAATAACAACTCACAAGATAGCCAGAGGCAGGAATGGAAAGTGTCTGCTCTGAAAAACAATATCCTTGACCCAATTTTTGAAAGACTCACTAAAATTATAAACCCTTCCATCCCTCAATGATCAGTAACTAAGTTCTGTATCTCCCTAACCTTTTTCTGCTGTCACTTTCTCCTTGAATTCCCAGATGTCAGAGTATGGAGAAGGAAAAGGACTGAATGACAAGCGCAGCAGTTTCCCTTAAGCAGTCTAGTAATCCTTCCTTCCTTATTCATTAATTCCTTCAATAAATATTTCTTGAACACCTATGATGTGCCATACACTGTACTAGACAAAGTCAAAACGACAGATTTGAGCCCCGTTTTCGTGCAGCTTTCAACCTAGCAACCTGTAATAGTATTCCACTTAACTGTACAGTTATGAATCGTCTTACTGATCTCGGAAACAAACCCAGAGAACCTCAGAAACCAAAGGGACTGCAGATTAACCTCGTTTTTCCTATCCGGAAAAGGCCCGAAAGTGACTCGTCCAAGGTCACACTGGGCATCAGTGACAGAACAGAAACTAGAACCCAGGTCTCCCGACACTCCAATCAGTGCCCCCACGTGCTGCCTCTCCCTGCGGGAAAGAGGTCGCATGAGGTGACTAAGAAAAAGCGAACTTCGCCAAATTTAGGTCCCATGTCACTCTCTCCCTCCTCCAAAGAGGGGGAAGCCACAGCCAAACAGCGGGTAGGGGGAAGTGCGACGCTGCCTCAGTTTCCCCGCAAGAGAGGCGATCGCGTAGCCTCGCTGCCGCACAAGCTCCCCTCCTGCACTTTCCTCCAGTTTCTCCCGCCCTGCCCTCTCCCACTCCAGCCCAGCGGGCGACCGCAGCAAATTACTCCTTCACTCACAAGGACTCGCACCAGCAACGCCATGTTCCTCTACAACCATTTCCGGGTAAAGGGTGGCCTTCCGGCGTTCCCGCGGCCCCCACCCCTTGCCTATGTTGTCCTTTCGCCGGCGGGTGCCCGGCAACGGCGGCGCAGGCGTACAGAGGCCGCCGCGCTCACGAGCGCGCGCTTTTTTCCGCGGAGCGCGAGGCAGTCTGGCTCGGGCGCGCGCCTCCCGTTCTCTCCAGTCTTCCCCCCCACGACACGTCACAGACGCACAAGTCCTCTCCGCAGCACCTGTCCTCCTTGACCAATGGCCTCGGGCTTTTCATAGCTCTCTCCTTATCCACCCCGCTTCACCCAACCTCACTCCTCAGCGCCCCATTGTCAGAATGCTTCCAGACTCTACCCCCCACGGGAATCCCTCCCCCTTGTCACTGGGGGGTTGAAAAAAAAAGGACTTTGGGGGATCCCAACATTTAAGGGTTCCCTAAAAAAAGGGCCTGAGAAAGAGTTGTAGAGGAGCACAGGAGAGTGTTCAGCTGAGTCCTGAAAGTCAGGGGAAGAGGGCCGTCAAGGGCTGACCTGAGGCCTGAAGGGAACTTTTGGGGTTTCTGGCAGGTTGGTTGTTTCATGGGAACATCTTTGAGTATTGACAGAAGAAAGAATCAAGGATGCAGGGAGTTTCTTGAGGAGGTGGGAGAGAATGGCCTTGGCTGGAACATCTCTTCCATTGTATCCCAAGAGCAGTAGAGGAGAAAAGGCGTGTGGGTGGAAGCTCCTTTCATTCAGTCAGCAAAGACCCAGTAAATGTTCGCTATGCGCTGGTCACAAGGCAGGTGTGGATAATGGCTTTGTGGAGCTCCTAGACTGGTGGGGGAGGCATGCAAAAGTCTAGTAAACCAATGAAAAAATAAAATTATGAAAAAAAATATGGTAAGTGCTTTGAAAGAAACAACAAAGAGCTAAACTTGAGAATAACATGGGAAACTACACTTTAGATAATATGGCCAGATAAGGCCTCTCTGAGGAGGTGGCATGTAAGTTGAGATCCAAAGGATGAATAGGAGCTGGCCATGGGAAGTGACTCTGAACATGCTATTTTTATCAGCAAGTATTGGGGGGGTGAGAAAGGGAAAGAAGATTTGAGGGCAAGAGTCCTGAAATGGGAAAGAATAAGAGTTTATTTAGGGTACTTAGAGAAGAATTGGGTATTTACACCCCAAAAACACTAATTCAAAAAGATACATGTACCCCTATGTTTATTGCAACATTATTTACAATAGCCAACATATGGAAGCAACTTAAGTGTCTATTCATAGATGAATGGATAAAGAAGATGTGGTGTATATATACACAATGAAATGTTACTCAGCCATAAAAAAGAATGGGATCTTGCCATTTTTGACAACATGGATAGAGCTAGGGAGTATCATGTTAAGTGAAATAAGTCTGACAGAGAAAAACAAATACCATATGATTTCACTCATATGTGGAATCTAAAAACAAAACAAATAAACAAAAAAGCAGAAACAGTCTCATAAATACAGAAAACTCGTGGTTGCCAGAGGGGAGGGGGGTGGGGGAATGGGTAAATTGGTGAAGGGAATTAAGAGGTACAAACTCCCAGTTACGAAATAAGTCACAGAGATGAAAAGTATATCATAGGGATTTAATCAATAATATTGTAATAACTTTGTGTGGTGACAGATGGTGACTACACTTATGGTAAGCACTGAGTAATGTATAGAGTTGTCAAATCACTATGTTGTATACCTGAAACCAATATAACAGCGTATGTCGACTATTCTTCAATTTAAAAAAAATAAAAAGAATCCAAAGAAAACCAGTGTGGCATCTGAATTAATTAATTCAGAATTAATTAATCTGAATTAATTAATTAATCCTGAATTAATTTAAAGAATAATTAAGATTGGCAGAAGCTAAATTATGCAAGTACCACTAGATGAAGTCTGTATTTTATTCTAAGAATAGTTGGAAGCCATTAGAGGATATTAAGCAGGGGAGGGCTATCTGGCTTATGTTTAAGAAGCTGATGTTGATCACTCAGCATCAGGGAAATCCAAATCAAAACCTCAATGAGATACTACCTCATACCAGTCAGATGGCTAAAATTCACAAGTCAGGAAACGACAGATGTTGGGGGGGATGCGGAGAAAGGGGAACCCTCCTACCTGCTGTTGGGAATGCAAACTGGTGCAGCCACTCTAGAAAACAGTATGGAGGTTCCTCAAAAACTTGAAAATAGAGCTACCCTATGACCCAGCAACTGCACCACTGGGTATTTACCCCAAAGATACAAATGTAGTGATCTGAAGGGTACGTGCACCCCAATATTTATAGCAGCAATGTCCACAATAGCCAAACTATGGAAAGAGCCAAGACGTCCATCAACAGATGAATGGATAAAGAAGATGTGATACACACACACACACACACACACACACACACACACACACACACACAATGGAATATTATGCAGCCATCAAAAAAAACCAAAATCTTGCCATTTGTAATGATGTGGATGGAACTAGAAGGTATTATGCTAAGTGAAATAAGTCAATCAGAGAAAGACATGTATCATATGATCTCCCTGTCATGAGGAATTCTTAATCTCAGGAAACAAACTGAGGGTTGCTGGAGTGGTGGGGGTTGGGAGGGATGGCATGACTGGGTGATAGACATTGGGGAGGGTATGTGCTATGGTGAGCGCTATGAATTGTGTAAGACTGATGAATCACAGACCTGTACCTCTGAAACAAATGATACATTATATGTTAAAAAAAGAAGAAGAAGAAGATAGTAGGAAGGGAAAAATGAAGGGGGGGAAATCGGAGGGGGAGACGAACCATGAGAGACTATGGACTCTGAGAAACAAACTGAGGGTTATAGAGGGGAGGGGGTGGGGGGATGGGTTAGCCTGGTGATGGGTATTAAAGAGGGCATGTATTGAATGGAGCACTGGGTGTTATACGCAAACAATGAATCATGGAACACTACATCAAAAACTAATGATGTAATGTATGGTGATTAACATAACATAATAAAATAAAAATTTTTTTAAAAAGCTGATGTTGACTACTATACATAGAATGGATCAGAGAAGGTTAAATATGAAGATGGAAGACCAGTTAGTAGGCTAATAGTATCCAAACACTAATGATTTTCATATATGAGTTTAGTTTTGTTTTTGTACAGAATATAAAGACTTCCCTCATCAATCTTCCATAAAAGGATTTTACAAGCCAAAGTGAAGATGCTTTCTGCTTTCAAATCCATAGCTTACATATGCAATATTGAAAAACAATGGTGTAGTGCTCCTACATATACCTTAGGACAAGTGGCATCACGTATTAAAAAGAGATAAGAGGGATTCACAGAAGAGATGATGAGCTAAGATTTTGAGCACAAGAGAAAAAAAAAGATTAGTATTTAATTTCCTTTCTGATGATTTCTATTTTATCTGCGAACTAGCGGGGAGAGATTTTCTATTCAGAGGAATGCAGATGGCATGAGACTATAGAAGAGTTGGAGAAAGTTTAAAGTTTCAAAGAGAACAAAAGATAAAGGGGGCCAGTTGAAACATGGAGGATCTAGTTGAAGTTGGTAACTCCTCATTTTTTCAAATTTTAATGTATTAATTAATTTTAAATTAAAAGATGATATATGACCTTCTATATCAGGCGACACATTCTCTTCTAAAACTTAGCATGTTACAGATAAAGCTAAAGTTCCTTTTACCAGTGCCTTACATTGCAACTCCTTCTACCCTCTCTAAAATTGAATTTCCTTCTAGATATTTTGTAATGTTTTCACATATATATACATACTCCCTCAGAAAATATATCACTCTGGTTGGTGTGGGTTTTCTTTCTTTCTTTTTCTTTCTTCCTTTCTTTCTTTCTTTCTTTCTTTCTTTCTTTCTTTCTTTCTTTCTTTCTTTCTTTCTTTTTTACTTAATTGACAACATTCTTTTTAGTGTGTGACAACAATCTTATGTTTTATTTTGCTCTTCCTTTTTTTCACCCAACAGTTGTTTTTTTATTCTATATATGTTGCTCTGTATAGATCCAGTTCATGTCCTTTTAATAGCTGTTCTATCATAAGACAGAGTTGACAGACATTTGTTTCCTTTTTGTTGTTATTGTTTCTATGACCTGTGTTTCCATGAATATTCTGTACATTTAAGAGCAAAACTTTCAATAGCACCAATCTACCTCTTTTTGTCTTCAAAATCATTTGCCAGCCCGGGATTAGCAGAGTAGAGAGCTGATAGTTGGATTTAATAAAGGATTATGGTTTTTCCAGGTCATGGAATGGATGTCATCAGGACAAAGAAAGTGATGATATTGTCAAGAGAAAGGTTAGAGTGATAGGCCAGGAAATCTGTATGGTGAAGGATTTAGAGAGGAAGAAGCTGTCAGGAAAGTGGCTAAAGTAAAGGAGAGGTAAAAATCCCTAGGGTAGTGTCAGGCCTTCAACGAATTGAGGGCCCACATTTTAGGAGAGTCATCTATGTAGGCATTTATGTTGCCTCTAATGGTGGCTGGATTTGGAATGAAGAGGCATATTCTAGGTCTGATGCCAAAGTCTAATAGGGTGTCCATGAGTTTGGAGGTAGCATGAACATATAGCCTGAGTCATGAAGGAGCAGCAGATGGAGGGGTAATGGACTGAAGGTGGTACTGGAGAGCAAGCAGTTGAAGCCTTTAACTGCCAGTCTTAACACACACAGGGTATAGAATAATGACAAGCACCATCCCAGAGAAGGAAGGCTACAGGGAAAATCATAGAAATAATATTCAAAGAGGAAGGCCAGGTTTCAGTTAAGACAGAAAGTAGAAGGAACTTTCTGGGAACAGGCTAAGGGTATAAACAAGTTTATCTTTCTTGGAACCCATGGAGATTTCAGGTTCCATAAGGCCCTTTACAGTGCTCCTCCCTTGGCTCTTTGGTCTCAACTCCCCAGGGCTGCTCAGCTTCTCTCCACTGCCAGGGCTTGTCAGCAACTTGTGCCCCAATAATCTCCATTGTTTTTCCAAAGC